TGGGTAATGAAGAAAAACTTTAATACAACAGCAAATGTACAACGTTTCGACAAGGGTTTGTCATCATCAGGGGATGATGACAAAACCTTGTCGAAACGTTGTACATTTGCTGTTGTATTAAAGTTTTTCTTCATTACCCATTCAAGCCGCCTCCAGCCATTATTAGTCTCAAAGTGGGTTCCTCGTCATCGAATTTGAATACATCAATGTATGTTATGCACACTGTCTCTAATGCCAGCCTTCCATACATGAATCTATTTTTGTTATTCACTACAGTAGATATTAAATGAGATGGAAGTACGTGACTGTATATGTAGATACATAGGAGACTATTAAAATGAGCTTTGGATCAATTGTACACACACACGTATGATCCCCAGGTTTCCAGAGCTCAACACTAAAGGTTGTCCAATTGCCTGAAACAAGTGAAATTTTGATACAAATTGATTTATGTATGTACTTGTGTAATTGGACAAGTGTAAAATCATTGATCTAAGCTTTGTTTATATTAATAACATGCTGGATATATGAACCATAGAGCAAAATTTAGAAAAAAGACCCACTTTGCTGTTAATTTTTAAAGAAGACCAAAATCAGATATTTTAGAATAGAAATGCAAATCAGAAAATGGTGAAAGCAAGAAGTATGAAGAGAAGTAGAAGAGAGGATTTCAGACTTATTAGGAGAAGAATTTTTAATTTGGAAAGTTTGCATGCAACATTGTAACTGTAAACTACTGTTTTGTTTCATGTGCAAAAGTATGTTAAATTACCTATTTAATGTCAAAAACCTAGTGTAATAATTTGTCAGTAAACAAACAACAAAACACCAAATTATTGAAAGGCCAAGTATTTTTCCACTAATAATCTTTGGGAGACTCAAGATGTGTTTTGGGCCAGTGAGTTCTCGTGTTAATGTCAAGCCCTGGAAAGTTTTGAGTCTGTGCCTCTAAGATTTTCAGCATATTAGTAAATGGACATGAAGAGTTACTTAGACATGGAAGAAATGTGTGTGTGTGTGATGCATAACATTCTGATGGTCTAATTTTTTGTTGAGTAATTGCATGTATGAGTGTGATATTATTTTGTAAAAGGTGACATGAAATTCAGGTGTTTATTACATACAGTATGTTATTTATATGGATAAGAACTTGCCACCATTTAACAGGTTTCTGCCTTTCCTGTTATTAAATTGGCTATTCTCTCACTTCCTTCAAGTCTAGTGAAACAAAAAGTATTGGAAGGAATGGGAGGGGGGTGCTGGGGTCAGAAACAGAATAATAATAATGGGCTTGATCTGAGATTGCCTTGTCAGCTTTGATGTTTATACTAAACTGAAATCAATATATGAGGTTCCTTTTAACTGACTTACTGGCATACAGCTGACCAATCATAGTGTTTCAAAGGTGAAAGCATCTGTGAATTGGAAAATACACTAATTTCTTAAAGTGCAATGATGGACAGACAAAAAGAATCAGCATAGATGTATGCTTTAATTATATTGCCATCTGCCTTAATGTTGTAGACTTTTTGCAAATAGAAACAATTTTTTTCTTTTATCTGACATTATTTTTATTTGTGAACTATTTTTGATGGAGCAAAAATTGGACAGATATAGACATGGATCAATGAAATTGAGGGAGAAAGTTGGCATATAATAAAATTTTTTAAATTGTTTTCAATAACTTATGAAATGAGAACATATTACAAGTAAATTAAATTCACCAGCATTTGAATTATTTGACTACACAGTTGCAGAGTTCACATCAATCAGATCATTATTTTATGGCACTTATACCTTAGTTTTAGAAAGTTAGTTAAATTATAATTACATAACAATGTATGATTTGTCTTGTTATTATTTTGTGTTGTTAACTGCATATTTCAAATGAATAAAAATTATTTTATGAACCACTACCATTGTTACAAAAAGTAGGCTTAAGTTTTGTCAGGGGCTGAGTGCAAAGAAAAGAAGAGGCCAGGTGCGACTACTAAGTTTTTTGTTTTTTATGGTTATTTTTTTATTTAATGTTATAAACGTGACGAAAAAGTTCTTGAGCTACATGTGTGTTATGTATTGAATATCATAAAATGAGCTCTGCATTCATGATGTTTTCTATGCGAGTGTAGTAGAAAAATGGTTCAGAGATCATTAAAATTAAATAAAGACAAGTGTAAACTGTTATGAGCCTAAAGGCATTTAGGATATATACTAGTAATTTTCTGTTACAATCTGCAGTTATTTGAGAAAGAAAAAAAAAAGGTAATTTAAAGTTATTTTATATTTTGTGTGCTGGTTACAAAGTCAGTCAAATAGATCGAGTCCATATAGTACAAGTGTAAAAAATTATAAATAAAAAATTAGCAAGTAGGAATGGGAGCACCAAAAAGTAAGGAAACAGGGTAGGAATTAGCAGGATAACATTACAACACTTGGTGGTTTTTGACGCAGTGCAGCCTCAAAGTGGATGTGGCCATCCTTCTGCCCATTCCTACTTCCTGTTCTTTTTTGTAACTTGGTAATTGTTCAAGCAAAATTAAAGGTGTATGTATCTAAATTTCTCTATTGTAAACTTTTTCAGCAACCAAGTAAAGATATATGTATGTAATCAAATTATGTGACTCTAATGAAATGCATGACATCATAAGGTGGCTATTTAATGTCGGAAGTGAGACAGGTAGCTCCAATAGTCATACTTTGTTTATGGGAGATATTATAGCTATCTGACGGCTATTATAGCTATCGTGTGTTTCATGCAGATTATTATGCTTTACCTCTCCACCAATAGGAGAGCAGTACAATCACATATCACCCCTCTATACACCTCTACTGAACTATCACTTCTCGTTTTGGCATTGCTCATGTTCAGATATTTTGAATTTTGCTTTTGTGTTCTTTGTCGTCATAACTTTAACAGTTTTATAGCCACAGTGGTTTTCTACTCATTTGCTTATACTGCTAACAAATTTGTTTTCAATTACTTTCCAGTCAACCAAT